GCAAGCACAATTAGGCGAGTATATGAACGAATGCACATGTACACTTTCAAATGAATTAAGATACCTTGAGATACACAATGACTTAGTTTAAATAGTTTAAACACATTATGGTACTGATTTTGACATGCTGATGTCTGGAAGGGAGAGGGGGTGTGGGGGGTTATTGTCTGAGGTGGAGGACCAGAGGAGGGGGTCAGTGGAAGGATGGTGGCTGGAGGGATGCCATTGTTCTAATGGTTATGAAAACAATTATTGATGGCAGGAATTCAGTGGGTGTGTACTTCACCCGCACCATCACCATACTGTGCCCTGCTACAACCCCCCCCCACTCCACCCATGCTGTGCGGGGCGTATTACACATTATGGGATAACCGACTGTCTGTCCATTCCTGTCTGCTCGTTATGCTGCCCTTCCTTTTGAAAATTGTCTGCTTTATCGACTTCCTTCAAGACCACACGTTAGCCTCTTATCACGCCCTCTTACCACTCTCAGGGAGCCGGCTCTTCTATACAATAGTTACCACTCAGTCCCCAAGGTGAAAGAGTGTCCGGGCATATGACTTGTTATGTGTACTTATTTGCGATTCGTTTGGGCTGTCACGTGTGGTGATTAGTGTTGAGTAAGGCTAGGCCAGGTCAGGTCAGACTAGGTCAGGTCAGACTAGGCCAGGTCAGACTAGGCTAGGTAAGGCTACGCCAGGTCAGGCCAGGCCAGGCCAGGCTAGGCAGGGTGAGAGAAGTAAAGCGGCAGGTACTTACGTTTCCGAGAAAGTAGCGGCGGTAGTATATTGTTGATTTAGATTCGACGACATCCTGAAGCTAGTAGGTGGCGGCCTCATCGCTCTCGAACTTCTTGTTATTGTAGGGGATACGAGGCACACCCAATATCCCCCTTACATTGATCACATCGCACACTAATATTTTTACTATTTCAGACACCAGATTTGTCTGTTTCGTATATGTATAATTGTTCAATATTAAAACCACAATAGAATGCTCTAAGTACTTTCGTATATTAATACATCTTCAGAAGGAATGGTTCGCTCTGAAGATGTATTAATATAAGAAAGTACTAAAGGAAATTCCTGTTTCAATTCTTCCTCCGTGGTCTGACACTCTTATTATATATTGTATATACTGAATTATATATACTATGCTTATATAATATATACTGAAATATTGTTACATTTAACGTATGAAACAAAGTATATATCTGTATTTTTAATAAAATATAAAACATTAATATTTATCAACGTATCTCTGTGAATTACATAATTTATCAGTATTGTACAGCCTGTGATCTCCACCTGGCTGGCCACTGATACCTAAGTAGCTTTCATGTGTCCGGACACCGGCGATAGGATTGTATTATTTAACTTTAAAGAGAGAGATATTTCTTGAAATGTTGTCACATTAACGTCTACATCTTCCTTCCTTCTGACATATAGATTTTAAGGTTAATTAGCATATATGGAAATAAATTACACAATTTATAGGCTGGTGTGAAGGGCTTCACACTCTTAGAGCAAGCCATCAAGAAACTGTACAGTATCAAATGCATATATCTTCGCTTTCACTTCAGTTATATTTATGACAAGTATTTAAAGTGTAGCTTATATTTCTGCCTTTCTGTTGACATAGAAAACTTTCGTTTATTACATTATCTAGATAAAATTAGCATTGATCTTCAAAAGGTTGTAGTTGTAACTTCCATTATAAACAACATTATTATTGCAAACAGTAGGAGTTTCAAAGTCTCATTTGTATGGATACCTTCTCATATAGGTGTTGTCCAGCATGATGACACAAACAAGGCAGCTAAAACTGAATGTGATAAGCCTGAAGTTGAGTGGGATATGGGCATTCCAATCTCTTCTGTCAAAGCCGCAATATTTTAGGAAATTAGGGAAGACAGAAGAGCAGTCACTGACACACAAAAGCCAGAAAGCAAGAGTATAAAGAGCTATGACATGTTTATGTGCCTCTGTAACCTTTTCCACTACCGCCCACAAGATGATATATGGGGTGCATAATTAATGAACTAAACTAAGTAAACATGTTTAGAATCGAGAATTATATGAACGGACAGCATAAAACTTCCACTAGTGTCACAATGACAGTGTGACATTGTAATTGCCAGAATTAGGCTAGGATATCGATATGTATCGCAGGTGGCTGCAGGTAATGAATAGCCCCCAATGGTGAATATTCCAATTGTAAACTATGTGAACAAGAGCTGGGACATACTCACCAACACTATATCTGTGATTGCCCTGTTATAAGTGACTTCAGACCAAATGGTATAAGGTACTTTGAACTCTGTAATTACTTCATACACTTAGGAATATTGGAAGATATTCTTATGCTGTACCCGGATTTTGCTAACGGAGGCTAATAGATCAGCCTTATATTTTATGTTCTCACCTGATTGTTACCTTGAGGTAGGCCCGTAAGTGGTAGTCCTCTTGAACCATTAACAGTATCAATAGATGATACTGGAGATCTGTGGAGGTGCGACTGGACCCTGCGTGACGGGAGATGTATCCCTTGTTTCTTGTGATTGATTGATGAGGATTAAGCCACCCAAAAGGTAGCACGGGCATGAATAGCCCGTAAGTGGTGTTCTTGTTAGTCACAGTTGATTTTTTTTTATTGAGGCTGGTATTTTATCCCCTGATTCCATGTATAACTAACCATCCTGTGAGATGGGAATATTTAATGAACTTATAGCTAGTTTTTGATATACACTGTGTAATCTTTCATATAGAATAGGGTAGCAGCACATTACTGTGTATACCTAAGCTTGTTAATAATAAGAAAAAAAAAAGTTAGTTTCTATCGATAGGGAGAGCGATGGTTCAAAAATCCTTCTTTAAAATATGAATATCTTTCCTATCTCACTAAGATCTAATCTCTGTGATTAAAATGCAAAATTGACTTTGTCACTGCCTTTTTGATAACGTACTACTTGTGAATCACAATTAACAGTCTATCTGGTGTAGTGTTAAGTAACTCGCCTGGCGTTCCGCGAACGCTATGTCATGGGTTCGTATCCTGGCCGGGGAGGATTTACTGGGCGCAATTCCTTAACTGTAGCCTCTGTTTAACGCAACAGTAAAATGTGTACTTGGATGAAAAAACGATTCTTCGCGGCAGGGGATCGTATTCCAGGGACCTACCGAAACGCTACGCGTGTATTTTGGCTGTATAAGAATGTAACAACTCTTCAATTTATCTCAAAAAAATTTTTGATAACGTATACAATCATAAGCTTATTTGTGAATCTCTATTAAACAGTAAATCAGAGAGCGTGTAAGGTTCCGTGTTCCATGTCCGAAGAAACAGGGAGATTTTACATAAATACAGTACATGATAGTTTAAGTAGCGAACGCATACCAACAAATAACGATTAGTATCTATAACAAAAATATTGTTCTATGGAGTTGATTTAACTTCCAACCATGTATTTTTAAATAATCTTTAACGTTTTCTGGCTAGTTATGTTAGATTTGATTAAAAATACGCATTCTACTTGTTAATATCGTTAGATTTGATTAAAAATACGCATTCTACTTGTTAACATCATAAATTAAATTTGCGATAATTTGAGCAGAGAAGTTCGACGACTGGATCACTGTGTACAGAAGGTTGATATGCCAGCAAACACTTTCCAGAGAGCAATATATCTTGGATAAGTCGCTCCACGATATTGTTGCTTGGACCATCGACTTCCTTTGATATTACATATTTACATCTTATTTTGTTATGAAATGATATTTTTTCAGAGTAAAATTATGTTTTCTCATTTTCTGCATCCAGCATCCACATTATAGTGAGTAAATATACCATATTACTTCATTGCTTACGTAATGCTAGGAAGGTTTGAGTAGCTTTGGGTCTTTAGTGGACAGAATCTCCAATAGATGGGGCGAGAGTCGCCCCATCTCTCTCGACCGGGCGGGACTCGAAACTTAAATTAAAATTGCTATATCATTGGTCTCCAACATGATATATTTCCTTTGATGCACTCACAATAACGATTATAGCTCTGTCTTTCTGGAGGCATGTAATATTTTAGGCTTTATTAGCGTATCTTTGTTAATTACACAACATATTGGCAAGTGCGTAGGCGTCTGCACTCCATGACCGAAAAGCTACTGAACGCCACTATAAAAACATATATATCTTCACTTGAGCTTTAAATATGTCTAATGTAATGTATTTAAAATAAAGCTTATATTTCTATCTTTCTTAAGACGTGTAAAACATTTGTGTTTATTAACGAATTTACGTAAAATAAACATTCTTCTGAGAGAGTTGCTCTGTCGCTCAGTCTATGCGGGGGTCGGAGCTCGGCGATTATTAAAATACATGAATCTTCATTAGAACTTTAATTATGTCTATGATAAAGTGTTTAAAATGAGCCTTATATTCCTATCTTTCTTGAGGCATATAAAAAATTTACGATTATTTACAAATTTACGTGAAATAAGCATTGTTCTGAGAGAGTTGCTCCGTCGATCGATCTGTCCGGAGTCGGAGCTCGGCTATTATAAAAGTACACGTATCTTCGCTTTAAATTTAAATATGCCCATGGTAAGGTATTTAGAACGAAGCTTATATATCTGTCTTTCTTGTGACATATAAAACTCTTACGTTTATTAAGGAATCTGCGTGAAATAGGCATGGTTCTGAGATGAATGCTGCGGTTTTCGAGTTTGACGAGCGATGAAAACTGCCACTTTTATACAACTACAAATATCTTCGGTTTTACTTAAAATATTTGTCTGGTAGAGGTTTTACATATAGATCGCGTTTCTGTCTTTCTTCTGACTAATAAATAATTTTGGTTTAATCAGTTATCAAGATGTTTTCAACAATATTCTTTCAGCGTTCGTCTTTTCCAACTTGGGCGACCCTTTTGGAAGCGCGATACTTGGGTTAACCCATCCTATAGTTGGGTCTGTTTCCAACTGGGGTTCGAATATACAACAGACACAACCCTCTCGCAAGTTGTGTACATTCTAAAGAGGAGAAACGCGAACTGTACGTATCTTTAAGAAGAAACGTCTTGCACTGGAGGACCTTCAGGTCCACCATGGGAGATTATATATTCAACTGCCCCGAAAAGCTAGCCTCTTCCCTCAATAACTTCCCTTTTGGTAAGTACTATATCGAAGAGAAGGTTCGAACCATAGAAAAGTGGTAAACCTAGTGTGACCCCCGGGGAAAGTGGCAACACAGGCCCTTAAGAAAGGTTCGGCATTGGCAAACTTGGGAAAGGAGGCATTGTGAAGCCTCTGTTTTGAATGGACAGTATACTAATATAATAATAATTAATTTTGTCTGGGGACAGGCAGCCAGAGTGTATTAATACACGTTAGGTTTATATTGATCCCCCCCCCCCCCCCAGGTTGAATTACTGAACCTGCCCAGGATGCAAGCCCCACAACAAGCTGACTAACTCCTGATTACTTACTTACTGTTGGTGGATAGGGGCACTAGGTGATAGGAAATGCTCCCAACCATTTCTGTCCTGCCCGGGATTCGAACCCGTAATTCTTGATTTTGTTTAAAGAACGAACCCGACTGTACTACCGGGACCCTAAAGTATATTGCTAGTAAGGCTCCAGATCACCACCCATATTGAGGCTGCTCTGCTACTGCAAGGTATTTTGTCGGGTGTTTGGTATGTCAACCTGCTGTAGGAAATAATAATTCCTACATCTCTCAAGAGTACCGATGCTAATATCTTTTAGGATATTAACCCTGGGGGCTAGGGTTTTCCCCAAGTCCCCAGGTGCCAGCCATGATGACCTCTGACCAGAAACAGAGCCAATAGAGCAGGGTTGGAGATGACTGAGCTACACTTACAGCTAATTCCTGGTCTGATTCTGAAACCTCCAGACAGTTTGGAGTTGTAATCAAGGGTGGGGAGGTGGGAGACCAAGCACAGCACACACCACACCATCAGGGGAAGGAGGAAAATTACACCAGATGCAATTCACCTTCTCCAATCCAATGACCACAAATGCTCGTTGGATTCACCTTCAATTCACCTTCTCCATTTGTGCTCGATTCAATGAGCACAAATGCTGCAGGATTTTGGGTCGTAGGTTTCATTGACCCCCAACAAGCAGCATGGTGGAGACAGACAGGATGATCGCTGGCAAGTAATAAAGCCAACAAGCACCCTTGAAACTTGGATATAGTAAGAGTGAGCTCGTCTGGTCAGTTCACGACGCAGCCCATCCTCTCGAGTGTTCCCAACATCAGTAAACTGATGTATTTAATTAGCAGAACCCTAGCCGAGGAATAGAAAATGAATAGAATAGAAAATGGATTATGCAAATTTTGTTAACTGCTATGACTTAGTACATCAGTTTTGAGCCTTAGGGGATTTATTTTCCAAAATACAAGGTACTATCCGAGAAGATGAATTACATAACGAGCCATGCTGCAGCTTACAGGGGTTATGAGGGCCTGAAGGTGGCTAACCAAGGAAGACACCCTGGCACCAGGGACATTTACAGGAAAAACAGACACCAAATGCAGTCTATAAAATAAACTTTGCTATGAAATGCATCTGCAATGTACCACATAAGCAAAGTGCATGCACCCTAATGTACTGTACAATATCACAAAACAAAACAGTGTTCCTAACTACAAGGTTTTGCAGAGGATTCAACGACTCGTATCCTACCCTGGGCGAGGCTCTCCACTGTAGTGGCCTAGTCACTGGTCACTGTACAATAACTCTATCAGTGCAGGGGCATTGTTATAGTGTGCCTAGGGAAGGGAGCCCTAGACATATGCAGCTCCAAGAACAGGTAATGCCAAGTTCACTCAAGAGTGTGGCTTGCAAACATACTCGTGCAGCAAATACCAAAAACTAAGAACAATACATTAGCAATAAGGCATCCTCGGCCCAGAGCCCAAATGAGGATCAGCACTTATCTTCGAGAAGAAGCCGAACGTGGATGACTGAGTGACTAGAGAAGATGAAATGATGATCCTTGCACCTCAGCAATAGGACTGAGTGTGGGATGCCAGCTTCACTGGGATGCTACTGACTGGCAGCTTTACACATGCATGCTGGGGGGAGGGGTATTGTACTCATTTTGTAACTTTTGTGGTGTCTTTTGGCTGTTTTTGTGCTTTATTTCCATGAACCATGCAGTTGTCTGTATGGTTCTGTAACCTCTCAGATAGGTTTCAATTGAATCTCGGCTGTATAATTTTATCCAGTCTGGTTGGTGCAGTGATAAGGTGAGAGCAGCTGGTCGTGTGTTTGAGTCGCCTCAGAGCTTCAGCTCATTTTCTCATTGATGTACAGTATATCACATTTTTTGTGATTTTATTGTGTAATAATCAAGATCTTAATTAATGAGGTATTCCTGAAAATGTTATCAGAATACCACAAGCCTATGAATGTACTTAAAATGGTTTCCAGGGGTTTTTGGAGGTCTTTTGGGGTCCTGGCATTTTGTTTCTTGGTCAGTGTTTCTGATTCCCTTTGAGCTTATTGCTTCGGGTAAGGTAAGGTCCCTGCTGGTCTCTCCCCTTTGGAGTTTTGACCTTTACTCTCTCCTGCTTCTAGTGTGTCACATTTGTTTTCTCTCTTGGCTTCAGAAAACCAGCATTGAATGTAATGAATGACCTCTGTATGTTAGGGAGGCGGGGAGGGACAGGCCATGGTGGCTCCCTGGGCCCTCCCCTCCCTACTAGACGAGTTATTTTTGTTATGCTCCAGGTGATTGTTAACGTGGGGAACTGGAAACTCGGCTGTTACTAGGGAGTGTTTGACCTAACTACTGGGTGGATCACTTGCTGCAGTTTTTTCTTTCTGTAAACCTGTGCAGCTGTTGCTTCGATTCGATTCCTTTCTGGCGGTTTGGTTTTTCCGTGAGGGTGATCATGAGCAAATGTGGACATCTTCAAGAGAAAAGTAGATAGTTTTCTTCAAGAAGTGCTTGACCAGCTGGGCTGCTGTGGATATTCGGGCCTGCGGGCCACTCCAAGCAGCAGCCTGTTAGACAAAGCTCTCACAACTCAAGCCTGGCCCCGGTCTGAGCTTGGGGAGTAGAAGAACTCCCAGAACCCCCATCCAGGAACAATCCAGATGAATCCATTGCTTCCTGCACCTCTGAAGGGGAGCCAGATTTGGCCTCTGGTAAAATATTAAGACTCACAAGGGCTGATGTGACTTAGGTGTGGAGCTATCACAGTTACTGAGTGTCACCGAGGCCCTCCCCATAAATCAGCATTTCTTAACATTCAACACCTTTCATTTTATTTACAGAGGATTTTATTGTTTCTCTAGAAAAGAGTAAAATTCTTACGCTGTAATTCTTTTTTCAGGCTGTTAAACTTGCTGACCAACACCTGTGAAGGATGGATATGCCATTTAACGTGCCACCAAACAAGATGCCAGTAGGTTTCTCACTTGAAGACTTCATTTTCAGTAAACTGTATAAGTGTATCCATCATGAAGGACAAAAGACTATGTGTGAAGTTTTTCAAGCAATGTATTTACATACTTTTTCAGATAAAACAAAAACAGTAAAAGAATTTGTCAAGAAAAGCATGGGCTTAAGTTCAGCTCAGTTTAAAACCACATTTACAAAATTAGATAAAGAACAATTAGATTTTAATATAATGACATTAAAAATGGATATAACCATTTTATGCAAATTAGTACTCAAAGGATTCCCTAATATTTATAATTTGGATAGTAACTGCCAGGATCAGATCATTAACCTGAGAATGCAGAGAAACACTATATCCCATAAATATAAGTCTGATAAGTTAGATATAGCTGCTGAAGTTGATAAGCTCAAAATAATATACAGGAATATTTATGAAGGGGTTGGTGTAGCTTTGGGAAAAGACTTTTCAGAAAATATTAGAGAGAGAGAGAAAGCTCTCGATGATATCCGTGATGCTCAGATTCGTCAAGATGACATGGAAACATATAAGGAAGACATTAAAAAATTTAAAGATGACAATCTACACAAATTGATTTGGAATGGTCGCAAAGAACTTGAAACACTGTGGATGACTCATACCTCTGAATCCTCATTTAGTAGGATTAATGTTGGTAAAAAATTTTCTCCACTTAAAATTAAAGATTTAAAGAAAGATATTGCAGTAGAAGAGCTGCTAACAGTGAAAACAGATCCTTGTGCTGTGATACTCTTTGGTTTAGCTGGAACTGTCAAGACTTTATGTCAGTACATTGTAAGCAACTGGTGTGACCCTGATAATAATATAATCACAGACTTAAAGAACTTTGATTTGGTGTTTCTTGTTGAAGTGCAAACAGTCAAATCATGTAGTCTGAAGAGACATCTTGCTGAGCAGTTAATCGTGCAGACAAGTAGAGAGTTTGAACTATCTAAATTGATTACATTTTTGCAAGAACTAAATATACTTTTTATTATTGATGGTTTCCATGAAGCTAATGAGGTTTCTAAAGAATTATTGGGAGAGGTCTTTGAAAAATTTGGTAATCAACATATATTATTAACAACAACTCCTGATTATCTCACAAATGCAATTTTGTTGTCAAATGAACATAATGTAGATTATCTTGCAGTAGAAATGTTTGGTTTTGATTGAATTGGTAAAAATTTACTAAATAAGTTTTAACAGCAATTAGATAGATGAAATGCTGTGCTTATACAGGTATTTAACTTTACATTGTTTTTTAAATAAGGACAGGAAAATTAAAGAATTTGCAGTAAATTTATTGAACCATGCAAGGCCAGCTTGCAAGATGACAATAGTATATATATATATATATATATATATATATATATATATATATATATATATATATATATATATATATATATATATATGAACCATCGGGTGCATTTCCGATGGTTCCTTTCATATAAAAGGGGTGACGCCGAGGAAAATAAGTCCCTACCAAAACAAAAAAGGTCAAATATAAATATATGTATATATTTTATATATATATATATATATATATATATATATATATATATATATATATATATAATATATATATATATATACAGGCATACCTCAGAATGCGAGTTTAATCCGTTCCTGGAGACGCCTCGCCTTCCGAAAACTCGCATTCCGAAGTTAATTTCCCCATAAGAAATAAAGGGAAATGAATTAATCCGTTCCTGACTACCCCAAAAACCCCACATCAAACTAAATTTTTATACCTAATTTACCTAATTCATCTAAATAAACCTACAAAACTGTGTTCCAGTTATTACTTACCTTGCTGTCGAGTGCTGTAGGCGTATGGAAGATGGTGAGGAGGGGGGAGGAGGAGAGGAGTTACTGTTTGGAAGGGGAGTCCCCTTCCATAATCACATCACATAACCCCATGCCTTGTAACACTATGGATACCACTTCTCTTTCTAAATTTTTCAAACCAGCCCCTGCTTGCCTTAAACTCTTTCTTATCTGCATCACTCGTTGCAGGGGTATTCTTTAGAAGGTCTTCGTGCAACACCCTGGCTTTCTCACAAATAATGGCCTCCGAAACACTATCACCCCTCAACTCCTTGTCGTGTATCCAAATTAATAACAACTTTTCCACTTCTTCAAGTATTTGTGGTCTTTGTGCCGTTAATGTTCTTACTCCTTTTGCCACTTTAGCACCCATAATCTTATTTTTCTTCTTAAGTATAGTGCATATTGTTGATGTGGCTTTGTTGTACTGCCTACAAAGTTCAACAACACGTGTACCGTTCTCATGCTTCCGAATGATCTCTTGTTTCTCCTCTATTGTCATCCTCACATGAGCTTTCTGGCCTTTATCCTTACCACTGGCTTTCTTGGGACCCATGGTGAGATATATAATAACAAATTGTATAGACAAATCACCAAAAATCCAACAAAACACTGAAAATCCGCGAGAAGAATTGATGTGGGGGTAGTCACTGAGCGCGAGACAATGGTAAACTGAGGGGCGGCGGGGCGGAGGGGCGACGATCGCCGAACCACCACGCGCTAGGTCGGCCTGTACGCGTATCAACAAACTCGCGTCCCGAAGTAACCCTCGCCTTCCGAGACAAATTTTTGGAGTAAATACTGCTCGCCTTCCGAAAACCTCGCATACAGGGACAATCGCATTCCGAGGTACCACTGTATATTTTATATATATATATATATATATATATATATATATATATATATATATATATATATATATATATATATATATATATATATATATATATATAATATAATATATATATATATATATATATATATATATATATATATATATATATATATATATATATATATATATATATATATATATATATATATATATATATATATATATATATATATATATATATATATATATATATATATATATATATATATATATATATATATATATATATATATATATATATATATATATATATATATATATATATATATATATATATATATATATATATATATATATATATATATATATCGCAGGTCGCAGAGTTCCTCCAGCTCCTCAGATGGCAGGCAGGAACCATGGATGCAGGAACCATAAAGATGATGAATGAATGAACTAGTGTCATACATTTATTAGTTTTCTGGTATACTCCTACAGTGACATACACTTTGCTGTGATCATACACTTAATTCACTGAAAAATACTACAACAATCATACACACTATCATTTAGCACAATCACACCCTTAAGGATTTCAGTGCAAACTTAATGTCTCATCCCTCCTAAACAATTATACCAACCTCATGGTCATACCATTACCTGCAAAACATAATTCCTCAAATCAATTTTATTCAAGACAAAAACTTACTGCAGGGAAAGTTGAGCAAAGAATTTTCCCCCCGATAAAATATTCTTCTATTCCAGTGTATTAAGCTTTGGTCTTCTTTCGAGTTTGGTGAATGTAACCCCAACCATTCAGATCATCCAACTCTTAAAAAAAAAAAAGAGGAAATTCTTCTTACAGTTAAGTCACAAATTTTTCAAATGTCATAAGAGACTATTTCCTGCCATATATGAACCCTTATTCAACATTTCTCTCTACATACCCATGCTCTAAATTCCCTCAATAATACAGGCAAGTCCTTTTTGCTGTCCCCACTGTCCTCACCTTTTCATAAAAAAAAATCTGCTTTCACCCTACCTGTCTCTCTCAGATACCTATCCTTATTGCCTTCCTCCTGCCTCTGGTTCAAGAAGCAGGAAATGTCTCTGGCTTGGTAATGTATTGGCTACACAAATAACATATGTATTCATGAGTTAGTCATGTGTGGCCAATACATTTTTATAATGGAATAAAGTTCTGCACATTACTGTCAGAACTGTATTGTTCTGCTAAACATTGTGCACCTACAAGAATATCCTGTTTTTCAAGATTGGAAATTTTGCTTTCTCAATACTAGTACCTGTATTTCCTCGAGTTTCATACGACACTATTAAATCTTTGGTGAATATGATACCTCTGACATAGCTCGTCCTACGTGTTTTTGCTCCCTGTTAGCATTCTGAATGATGTCTAGAAATTTTGTTACATTCTGTGATAAAGATGGTGATATACAGTATATAGTCTTTTGAGCTTTGTGACTTTTGATAATTTTTGTAAGAACGCATTTAGATTATGCAGTTCAGTTTTGGTCACCATAATATAGAATGATACTGATTCACTTGAATATGCACAGAGAAAAATGACAGTTAATTCCAGGCAGTAGAAATCTCCCTTATGAAGAAAGATGAAGAAAACCTAATTTACATTTTCTAGAAAGGTGAAGAGTAAGGGGTGGCATGATTGAAGTATACAAATGAACAAAAGGGTATAACAAAGGAAGATATTAATAAAATGTTAGATACATCAACCCCAAGTAAAACTACAAACTACTGTAATTGGATAAGTTTACATTCAGAAAAGACATAGGTAAAAGTTCGTTTGGAAATAGGGCTGTTGATTTAAGTACTGTACTATATCACTAGGGTATGGGATTGCTTTATTATTTCAAATATAGTTTAGACTATATAATATACAGTATATGGGCAAATTTAGTTGGATATAAATAGAACCTACTTTACATGTTCCCACTGTACCATTTTGTCATACTTCCCTTGATCAAATCCTTAGTGAATCTGATTTCTATGATACTGTATCACTTATTTTGTCTTTCTGCTCTTGTATTTGCATCCTATTTGATATCTAGGAACTTTTGAATATTCCAAAATGGGCAGTTCTAAATGATCTGAGCTTAAAACTTTCCTAATAATTATTTACATGTCTTGCATGTGCCAATTAACCTTTTACAGTTCCTCTATTCTTATATTTTTATGTTTTTAATTCTACCCAGCTGATTTCTCCTAAAAAATTATGATAAAAAGAACTTCCAGAGGGCAATGTGGTGAAATCTGGAGTGTCAGTTCATCACAGTAATTTCCACCAAATCCTATGTAAGTTAGTATTTTACTTTTCTATTTGTAAATATTATTCAGAATATTGTAATGCATTTATAATTATGTTTTATATAATTTATTTATACCGAGAATTATGTTTTAAAAATTTATTATTACACTTGTCTTGTAAGCGATACAAAGTAGTTTGTGAAGTTTTTCTGAGGCATACATACCTACTGTGAGTGCATGCATGCCAACCTTGTGCGCAAGTGCAGTTGGACCTCTAATTACTCAAACATTTTCATTTGTTTTTATTCTCCTTAACATTGCCTAATGGGTACATTAGGCAATGTTAAGAGGAACTTCATTACCATGGATAAAGAGGTCAAGTTATTAAAAATAACATTATTGGAGTTGGGAAGGTAAGCTCCTGGTAGAAGGGTATGACATTGGTATTAGTAGTTTCTAACAAAATGAAAGTAGATCATAGAGTCTTTAAGTAAAAGGGGAGACTGATAGAGAAATATGAGACATTAAAACCCAAGTACAAGGATTTGGGTGTTGCTGTATACCATTGGTTTATGCAACATTGTAGCCTGGGGCTGACTATTCATGATGAACAGTTCAAGTTTGTAGTGGAAGAAGGACACTAACCATGGGCATTAATGACTTCAAGTCTGATTGCAGAAGTCTAACAAGCCATCAGGATATTACTATAATATTTTGCTGCCCATGGCTGTACTACAAGGAGGTTAGTGAACAAATTAATGTTTCATATATTTTTATTGCATCATTATTATTTATATGCACACACATTAGGCGAGTACACAATCATTGCATATTCTTTGAGTATGCAGAAACAAATTTTATTATTTGTTTAAGGGGCTGAAATCACAGTATGCCTGTATATTATCATCATTCAAAGAATGCATGATTTACATTCAAGATTTTTCTTTCTTGGTTTAAGTATGTGTTTTGTAAGTCTATGATTAAATTAAGAATCATGGAGTGAGGCCAAGTAAAGTTTGGGCTTGGCTATTGCTTAATAATGCCTCTGTTCACCCCAATACTGACACATTAACCTTAACTGAAGGCAAAATAACATGTATGGCACTACCATATACCACTTCTCTCAGCCAGCACATAAATCAAGGATCCATGGATCACAGATCATGGATCTGTGCCATGAAAAGGTTGTACACCCAAGCCATGCTGAATGAAGTTTTGGTGGTATTTACCTCGAGGAAAATGAATAGATGAATAACAAGGTAAGGATACTAGGGTAGAAGAAAGCCTTGAAAATTTGAAGGCAGTATATGGAAATATATTTTTAGTTAGGAAAAGCAATTCTATTTATAGTATGTATAGATCAAGCATATACAGTACTGTACATCATCAAAAATATATATACAACTCATTCTTGTTAGAAACTAATGATAGTGATTAACTAGCAACATATATTCTTCAGTGATTTTTAATGCACAAGATGGATCTAATATACGCCACTTTATGTAATTATAAAAACCATGTTATATTTTATCATAAAACAAAACTGCAAAAATGTATTCCAAATAAATATGGCTATACATTAATTGTAACTTCTATATTGTGCATTTTCTACAAATAAAGATGTGCATTATCAAAATAAAGTTGAACTTAAAATTTATATCAACATTTTCTAGTGATTTAATTAAGATTAAAGTTAATAAGTTCTCAATGGATTTCAAAGTGTTCTGAGCCTTATATATACAACATATGTATTTCATATAGATGTGATTTTGCATTTATTCTGATGTTTGATTCCCTCTAGAGCAGCATTTTTCAACCTTTGTATCCTTGAAATAATTCTGGGTCATACTTTAGATAAAACAGATTTCATTGTCAACTGAAAGGAAATAATTTCTGTCTTTGCTCTTCATACTGGTTAAATGAGAAAACAAACACTAAAATGACTTAAAAAATATTTGCATATGATTAGAATTAGCCAATTTATCAGTATCTCTTGTGGAATTCCTATTTACCTTTGTTGAAGCACAGTGGTTGAAAAATGCTGCCCTTGAGGAATAAATTTTAAGTTTTCCAAATTGCTTCCTCCAGCAATGCATTGTCTCGAACATTGCTTATGAAGACACTTTTTTTCCCAAACTGAAGAACTATTTCCATTTCTTTTTTGTGCTTTCTTTGGCCGCCATCATACCTTCTGCTGTTTCCTTTGTTCTTATACCAGCCTGGTTTTCATGCTTTACTTCTCATGTCTTACCTCTTGCCTTATAGTTACACATACATTCTCTCTTCCTTCACAACTTCATACAGAGAAAATGAATCGAGTAGGATGGGGATTGAGCAAGTGTCCTGGGTAACCCCAGACACCCCACATTAACAGGTTATTGTGATCTCCTAGTGTGCTCGATAATGGTTCCAGGATGGACTGAAACGTCATCACTTTCTCTACAAGTTATTCAGTCCAAGATCTGGAGGAGAGAGATGAGGGAGCTCTTTGGAGTGGCATTCTGAAACCCTTTTTGAGACTTCTAATGTTCCAGCGGGGTGTAGAAGCAATAGAGTTGCTCTGTCATTCTACAATGTTTTTCTTTTAATGCCTGCAGTTGGTGAACAAAGTTTGCTTAGTATTAATTTTAATTTTTTGATATGTAGCCAGCATGCAGCGCATCTTCAGTTTCATAGATAACAAAGAGCAGCTGTGAATATCCTGGATGTTGTTTTTATATCTACAGTATTGTCCAAACAACAATTCATTTTCTAAATCTATGTACCAGGCCATCATATGACTCATTACATCCCTAAAACCACTAATTTAAAGATAAGTCTTGTCAACATCTGGAACAAGACAAGTTTTGCTTAGGTATCCTTCACATGTAATTCTTACATTAGTGTATTGCAGAAAACGAATACACCACATGCAAACCTAACACAATAGTTTTATTATACATACTGTATACACACTGCTGGAGACTTGATTTGGTCTGGTGAAGAAATAAACACAAAGTATCTTATTATAAGTGTAATCAAATTATTATTTAATTCAATACTTAAAATATTGAATTAATTCACTTGCCTGGTAGTTCAAAAACTGATGAGTGACATTATCTGATATATTTTTACGGCTTAACAGAAAAGCAAATATACAAGCAGGTGAAGGCAATATGGATTGATAAAATGTATTCAGTTACTGATCTGGTGATGGAATGGGGGACTGTGTAAACCTATTGTGGCATTCAGTAATGCCAAAAGATGAAAGATATTGACAGTCACTGATCCAGCGAAGGCAATACTAATTAGTGAATTACTGTACTGGTATGTTGACTCGGACACTAGTATGACATGTCACCAAGTAAAGATCGTCTCCAGCACTATGTATGTACATACATATTACGGATATAAAAACACATATACATGCATGTATATGTACATAATAATTTACACAAGCACCACACCAACAAACACACATCTAAATACTGCATGTATTGTTCTAATTATGTGCATTCTTCCTTACAAATGTGTCAAAAATCTGGATGGCATCCACAGCCTTATAAAATTGCTGTTTAAACTGATCTGCTTCTACAGTTCTAACATTTTCTTAAAGTAATACTGTATTTCACATTTCCATATATCCAGTATGGTAATACTTTAAGCTTAAATATTACATCAGTTTGTGACATTGTATAACTATTGTAGCAATTAATGTACAAGGTTAAGATATTGGCATAGAGGTGGGATTTAATATATACAGTTCAATCTCTTACAATGAAATTAATATATTTGTTATATATTTTTCACATTTGAAAGATGCTGCAGTTTGAAAGCTGAGGTACATACAGTATTTACAAAAAGAATCAGGTACAAGAAATGAAACTAAACACAGTTACTGCTTCATCCAATATTAATTCTTAATTATAGGAATATAATTTAGAGTCACCACTAAATTAGTAGCATAGTTATAGGAATGTCATTTAGGACCAGCACTAAATTGCCAGCAATGCTGAATAAAACAATATATTAATTACATATTTGGTTTTCATTGCAAATAACAGCTCATTTTCAATTTTTCTGTTGTGCTGTTTATTCAGTGTCCATACTCTGCTCCTAAATGACAACATTGCACATCTTGGACACTTAAATCATATTATATAATCTATTAGGGAGGAACACGCAAGTCCAATGACATAAATAATCTATTAACTGTTGAACTTTCATACACAGTAAAATGTTTCTTTTAAAATATTATGTACAATCTTCCTGAATGTCTAACCATAAACCTTTGTAAACTCTAATTATAGGAAACCCTAACTATGGGAAACAATTTTATGAATATTTTTGTTATGGACATACATTCTCGAATCACCCTGCAACAAATGCAGAGCAGGTAATATTATAAACATTGATGCTTTTTGTATACAGTACCTGTACTTAGTAGTCCAAGACCGTTTTCTTTAGTTACAGTAATGTTCCTCACGGGAAACTTGGCACTTCTCGCACTGCACTTTACAGCACCAGATGAATCTGCAATTGCATTTTTCAGTCACTTCTCTGACCATGGTTTGGTACCCCCGACCACAGCACAAGATCCTACAGCCATCCATTCCCCAGCTGGTCTTGTTACACATACGCCCCTCAGTCCCAAGTACACCAAGTCTGCAGGAAAGTAAAGTATCAATTATCATGGTACTACTACTGTAAGTATTTGAATCTGATGTAGATAAAGCTTGATAAATTATTACAAATATTTTATGAACTGTAGTACTAAGTATAATGTAGTATAAAGCTCATCAATAATGAAGAAACATTTTCAGTTAATTTGGAACTGTAAACTGTTGAATACAAATAAAGCCAAAATAGGAGAGCACTACATGCTTGTAAACAGACAAACGAGGAAGGGAAAGGAAGGAGTTAAAAGGAGCGCCATGAAGCCTCTTACTCTCACCAAGAAGAGAAATGCAAATGGTACATCAAAGAAGCCACCTGCTTGCCATAAAGATGCATCAAAAAGACCAGATGCCATGAGTTGAGGTCAAACCAGCAAAATACATCAATGGGCCACCTCTCTGACACAAGGCGGAGCCAGGGTAAATGTTCGGGTTTGGACACAGAGCAAGCAGCACCCGAAACCAAGGCCATTAGGCCACCAAGGATCCAAGAGGACCACTTTTTCCTGGTAGGGCTCCAACCTGGTCAGAACCTAGAGCAACAACTGGAGCAGGGAAAAAGAGGTACAGTATAGGAACTCTGATCTTGGCCAGTCCAGCCAAAAGGCATTTACTGCAAGAGCCTCACACTTGGGAGAACGAAGCTGCATAACAAAGGAAGACGCCGATTCCACAATGGCGCAGAGAGGTCCATCTCCGGGCACCTGTATGTCTCGTAAAACCAAAGTAAGAAAGCAGCATCAACGGTCCACTCCATGGAGACTGGGAGAGACCATCCACAAGAACAATGGAAACTCCCTGGAAGTGAACAGGATGAAGAGCCAAACCTCTAGAACCCAGCAGAAGAGTTACTCGAGTCCAGCCTCAAAGGGCAAGTGACAGAGGTAAACCCATGTGGCATGTGCACACGGATGCAAACTGCCTCACTGTACTGTGAGCTCGATGAAGGTAGAAGATCAATGACCCTGGCCTGCTTGGTGAGTGCTGGTCATAAAGCCCCAACCCAGAACTGAGGCATTTGTAAAGTCGTTGAACAAGGGCAGAGGAAAGTGCCAGAGAACCAAATTCCGAAAAGCCTGAAGAGGAAACGAGCAATGCAGCAGCCTGCAAAGGGCCAAATGGGCCTGCAACCAACAATTGTGGCAGTGGTGAAAGAGAAGGAACCGGAGATACCAGAACCGCCGCTGAAGCCATACTTTGTCAAGAGGAAGTGATGCAGGAAAAGTTTAGGCTTCTGCACAATTGCTCAAGCAACCGTCGAGGTACCTGGAGCTGACCCAACACTAACAGACAGCAGTGCTGCTGCTGGGTCAAGACCACAGGAGGAAGGGAAAGCAAAGTAGACCGAGAGTCCCAGCCAAGTCCAAACCTGGAACACATCCAACTGGGACTTAAGCCAACCCAAACTGGTGACCTGAGAAAGAACCAGATCTCTGGCTAGCAGATGCACCAACTGACTGGGAGCCAACACCAGCCAGTCATTGAGGTAGGCCAAGACACAAACACGAGACACCATGACTCGACCCACCACAAAAACCTAGCCAATCCCTGAACCTCAGATGTAAAGAGAAATGCCAATGTGTGTTCCAGATGTCCAGGAAATCATCGAAGCACCTGCCTCCAGTATGAGGCAGACCTGGGCCAATGTGGTACTGTAATCTAGAAAAAGGGGGCAAGGAATGAATTGGGTCAGTCTCGATAAGTCAATTGGATGAAACAAAGGGCTGGAGAGTCCCGTTGTAAGTACCAAAGTGCAAAAATTTATTTTAGGTTCAACATGATGATACAGGGCCAGTTAACATGTGCAAAATGTACTAGAGTGCAAGACCCTGGTTAATAACCAGAGTACAACAGAATTACAGACATTGTGAGATGAACCATAGACAGATGACCTACTCTTCATTGCGTGTGCAGTAATCTGGGGACTCCTCCAAGTAGACCAGGTCTCGCCTGCTGGGTCGCTTGAACCCTCTCTTCAAGGGCCGCAGTTTCTTCCTCTTCCTCTTTTTCACAAACCTGATGATAAAGTCAAAGAGTATTAAATAATAAAGTGAAGTGTTTAAAATCCAGTTTGCCCATGCACTCGGCTCCACTTTCTAGAATTCTATATTCATCAGCATTTGCAAAAGCCACTATTACAGCCCTAAACATGGAGACAAAGCCTAGATATCAGTATCAACCTTGAAACACTTAAAATAATGGAAATCATGCCACTCTACAAAAGGGACAGCAAAGCAGAAGTAAAAAAAAGAAAAATTAGACTGATTGCACTAACATCAGACATGACATTTTTACATGACCCTGGCCAACATGGTTTAGAGCAGGATGCTCTGCCTCTCACATTCAATCACTAAAACCAAGACCTGGATGCTCTGTAAGTCGAGGAAAACACTTATGTAATATATACAAGCTTCACAAAAGCTTTCAACAAAATGTGACTATGGGTGTGAGCCATCAACAGTGACCGACAGCTTCACATGTGAGAGCAGGCTACAGTGACTGAGCTTTATGTGTGTGAGTCTGTTACAGTGACTGACAGCTTCACATGGGTGAGCCAGCTATAGTGACTGACAGCTTCACGTGTGTGTGCCAGCTACAGTGACTGACAGCTTCACATGTATGAGCCATCCAAAGTAACTTCACTGTAAATATTACTGATGTTGTAGCCATATACAGTACTTGAATAATAAAGCTTTTAACATGTAATAATGTTATTTATGGACACAAGAATCAGTGATGCAAGAGCTGTAGGTATTACAGAGTTGCTTACCTGACAATGGATGCACCCTCAAAGCGCTGCAAGAGAGAGTCGCCAATGTTTCTGAAGGCAGCCATCCTCCGCCAGCAGACCCGCATCGAACATGAGCCTGACACCCCGTGGCACTTACACACCAGCTCCATCTCCGACCTGATCGCCTGGGGAAGGCAAATGACAGCACATGCTTTGCAATAATTATAATACAAGAATGGCATAATTCACTAGCAGGTTAACTCTTAAAGTTATACTGCTTAGCATATGAAAGAGTTCATCTGCACTGTCATCTTTTCTGGCTCGGTATGTGTGATGCACAATCAGGAATTTAATACACATAATTGTTATTCTTATGAAAATGTATCATGCAACAACTCTACATGGCTTGAAAAATGGCACTCATTGTCAATCACACCTCCATGTATCCCAGACTACAGTGTCATGTGTTGTTGCCCTGCACCACAAGTGCACTATAACTACAAGTACCGGTATATTAGGTTATACACATCTGCAGTGCATGTTATTATTTATATATTTATTTACTTATTTATTTATTTACTTATTTATTTATTTATATACAAGAAAATACACTGGGTTTATGAGAGTAGAGAGACTTGAAGTTTTACATTCTTGTAAAACCACTATCATGCATAGCATTTTGAGCAGATCCTTAATCTAACATAATTTTAAGAAGGTAATTTCTAGCAAAATTAAAAAAAAATTTACAGGTACATTGCAAGAAATTATAAATGTCTACCACATAGGCCCACCAAATTTTCATCAAAACACAAATGGTTATTAAATATGATTTTCTAATTTAGAGTAAGTGGTAGTAACTTCAAACCCTGAGACTAAGTTCACACATGTAAACCTTGATTCCCATCCCTGTACTGTATGGGCAAACTATACCTTTTCCAGAAGCCTGATCACTAAGGAAATTTTTTCCATTTACCAGTACTTTTCTCAATTTCTGCAAGTTTATATTTTAGTCAAAGCTCCTCTATTGTTGCCAACCATTATAATATTACCTCTGAACAATATAACCAGGACTTACCCTCCGGCCAGCCTCATTATTGTGGAGGTTCATGAGGCCATCTGCAGTGTTCCTGGCTTCACGGGCATCCACGAACTCCTTGCTAAAATATTCTCCGAACCGCAGGTCTTCTGAACACCCTCCCCACTCCCACCTGTCAACCAATTGTAATGATTATTATGGTCTAGCCACACTACAGCTGTTCACTTTAACTATCAGAGTTTCTTATGAAGTACAGTATTGTGGCAGGGTTCTATTATAATATGTAGATGATGAATCACAATAACGTGGCTGGAGATATGATGATCAAACCACACATCAGAAAGTAAAGAAACTATGTTTCGGTCCGTTCTGGATCATCATCAAGCCGTTTTATACAGGACTTGATAATGGTCCAGTACAGGCCATTAAATCATAAAATAATGTGCTGACCAGAGAAGACATACCACTACTACCCTCTGCATGCTCTTTCAGAAATCTACTTTGATATTATGTTGACTCTCAGATATGCACTCACCTAAATAATACTGACTGACAGAAAACCTGGGATAAGAATTCAAATTGCTGAAAATTTTGAGCCTATCCACTGAAATAATGAGAGTTTGAGATATAGCATCCCAGAGTTGACAGGCCTGTTGACAGAAGTGGAAAGAGATGACAAGCCCTAAAGAATCAATTAGAGAAGTTGGTGATGGAAAGGCTGTGAGGCAGCAAGCTCTGGAAATATGGCTCCACCAGGAGATGAATCACGGCTCCTTGTTTCCCCGTGATGGAGGGAGATGAGAGAGGAGGGGGGGTGAGGTAGGCGAGAGGGGAGAGGTGAGATAGGAGGTAAGCAAAGGGGTGATATTAAGTAAAGAGATCCAATTATAATACAGTCTACTTTAATCTAATTGAACAACTGTATGTTCACTGTCCAATCACAGAGCATGGATTAAATGCACACTGTCCAATTTTAAACTGTGGATTCGATGTACACTGCCCAGTCACATGGCATGGACTCAATACACACTGTCCAATCAAAGCATGGCTCCATTATATACTTCCCAATCACACAGCGTGGATCCAATATACATTGTCCAATCACAATGCATATATCTGACATGCACTATCCAATCACAAGGGGTGAATCAGAGCTACTGTACATTCACGGTTTGACTGCAAGTTAGTTGCATATCAGAATCAGAGGTGAAAGGTCTAACTCAGGGTGTTCGGCCAAAAAAAAAAGGTTCAACGTCCTCAACATGGACAACAGGATGGAAACCTCGGAATTGGGGAAATGGCCTTCTGCTTGAAATGGGTCAAAATCTTGTCAGCACATGCAATCGTTATGCTGAAGCAATAATTTAATATTTATCCAAATCTTGTAAGTCTTTCAGATGTTGGAATGATAGTTATTTTACACGTGTTTATATATTTAATTACTGCTCCATAAGGAGAGAACAGCTACAAGCTCAAAAAGCCATAATGTAGGACAGAAAACAGGATTTTTTATTTTATTTTTTTTTTTTTTTTTTTTTTTTTTTTTTTTTTTTTAACCATAAGAGTCAAACCCATGGAACTGCCCATCTTCCTTAGCTGTAAATGCCAAGAAATTACTTCAGTTTAAAAACCAGATGGAGAAAATTCTCAGGAATAATGGAGAGACCTTTGACAAATCTATAAAACAATGCTGTACAATGAGTTACTTGTAATATTGCAAACCTTTGGAATTTTGTAAAATAGAAGCAGCTTCTTTTTCCTGTGTGTTGTGGAGTGTTATACCTGTATTTGACCACATACGTAGGATGATGTACTGAAATACCATAGAAGAAAAGACTGACATACCTGCCTCGGGTGGGTCGCTGACGAATACGCTCGTCACAGCCACACTCTGTTAACTCTCCTCGGCTACAGGCTCTGGTGACGCTGTAGGCAACACCAGCAGCAGAGATGGCATAAACGTATGCCTTCTCCCTGCTCTCTGTTGGGGAAGAGGGACACAGATGTCAGGGAAGGACAGACATCAGAATCAGATGGCATCTATTCAGAAAGGAAGGGGGAAAACAAACGCTTGAAATCCAGTGTTCAGGGGAGGGGGTATACAAATTGTGAGAGGGAGGAGTTAAATATTTGAGAATTATGTTGGTAGGGAACCTGGGGGGTGGAGAATACTATGTGCCTGGGTCAACTGAAGCCTAAGGGTGGGAGGAAAGCACTTAAAACAACAACAGATGATGCCTGAAAATGGGAAGGACACTATGAGCCATTCTGCACAGAGTACGTTAGATGGATCTCTGGGAAAGGACACACTGAGCCATACAGGGTATGCTGGACGGACCCCAGGAGGACACACCCAGCCATACAGGGTGTATCAGATGTACCCCAGGGGAAAGGACACTATGAGCCATGCAGGTTGTGTTAAATGGATCCAGAGGGAAGAACACATCGATCCATACAGAATACGTTAGATGGACCCCCAAGAGGAAGAAAAATACCAAGTCATGCAGGCTACACTGGATGGAACCTGGGAAAAGGACTTGATGAGTATACATGTCTCATTATGTTAATGATGCTAAGTAGAAAACAAATGTTGTATTTTATTATACAATTTGTGAGATCCTAAGATGTGGAGCCAGGGTAGTTACATAAGGTGGTAGTAAAAATAGAAGCAGGGAAAAAGGCAATCATACGCGAGGAAGCTGCCCATATTTTTGCAAAAAATCTTGAGAGGCCAGCTGGCAAGAAGAGTGACTTGAGGTTTGGAAAACAGAATTAACAAACCACAACTGATAGAATAGAGGAACTAATCAGAGTGCCATTTTGGCAGTGGCTGAATCTGAATCTGCTTTTAAATTCAGTGACAAACGTTGGGAGGGTACTGTGTCATCCATTGTGATCTGAGGAAAGGAGCCACAATATATGTTCTAGTGGAAAACCATGAACACTTAGTTAAAAGTAAAGCTCCCAGAGTGTGAGGCAGTTTTTTGAGGCATCATGGGAACACTGCCCAGCTTCAGACTAGAAGTTACCAGGATCAAGGATGTTGACTGTGCGTGTCAAGTCATCCAAGGAATAAAAGCCAATCTATAGATATTGCTAACCCCAGGGATTATCAACAACATGGAGGCAGTGGTAATGCATGCCAGTTATGCCAGCAGGACAACAAAAGGTACTAGGCAATGGGAATTGACCAAGAAGCGGTTGTGTCATAACTGTTCACACTGAAGTAGAGTTAGGCTGTGACATTGCAAATCTAATATCTCCCATTTATATTATTTTGTCATGAAGTACTGTTGTAGATGAATGTACCTATATTTAACCAAGGGCCATCATCTCGCTAGTGGTCTTGACATGGACAAGAAGTCGGTGGCTTGTCAAAGGTTCCCCATTTGTCCTGATGATTTCATCCATCTGGATTTTGAATTACAGCAATGTTTTGGCATTTACGGCTTTGGTAGGTAGGCGGTTCCATGAGTTTATAACCTTATGGGTGAAAAAGCATCTCCTGTTTTGTCTAACATTGTGGTTTGTTAGGTCTGAAGCCATTGCTCCTCGTTTGTGTTACATCTGACCCTTTAAAGAAGTGGTTTGGATTAATATCCTCTAAATTGTTCAGTATTTTTAAAGGTTGTTGAGATCATCCCTGGTTTGCAGTATTATTTGCCGTGTAGTAAACTTTGCCTCAATATCTATTGCATCTGTTAGAGTTACATGAAAAGTTTGGTGTCATATGGATTTCTATAGCTACTGTAATACTTGGCTACTCTTTTACCCTGAGTAAAAGGTAGCTAAGTATTACATAAGAGAATACCTGATTAGAATAAGTGATTATCTCTAGTATGGTCCAGAGCAGTATACAGCAGTAAGCTGGCAATAGAAGATGCTCACTAGGAGGATAAGGCTATTTTCTAGTTGGCTGTTCCAGTGGCAAGACTGGAGTGGTCAGGTTTTTTAAGTAGTAGTATTTTAATAGGAACCGATGTAACTATTTGCCCTGAGGACATGAAACATGGTTTAACTATGTCACTCAGTGATCAGTTGACTAATATAAGTGAGATTACCAATACTGTATTATTATATTATTATTATTATTACAGTATTATCATCTTCTATGATGCATATTACATAATGCAGTTGGCCAGTTATTATGTAGTACACACTTATTTAATTTTGTATTTTAAGTGCTGAAAATCTGATTAAGTTCCTTGTCTTGCATATTGCACAGCAATTATCAAAGCTCAAGAAATACTAACAGATGAAGAACGTAAAAACAAAATACCCAAAATGAGATATACAGATACATAAAATGGGTAGACCAAAGTACGAGAATTAGGGTCAAGTTATTAGGAAAAGTATAATATTTTAAGATAAAACAAGTAGTACATATTGTGTATGAATTGGCACCATTATTCTCACTGACATATAAAGTTGATGGCACTCATGAAAGAGGCATTGATAGGCACCAATGTAAGACATTTTTTAAGATGGAAGCTCACTCACAATATCACTTCCCAAATCGTTATTCTATTTATTTTGCTGAAAAAGAGGCAAAACAAAAGGGTCATGCTTTACTCAACAGTACACAACACAGGATATTAGATTTTACTCAACACAAGGCACCAAGAACCAGGATCACATGCGGCTCTGCAAAGGACGGGATGTCCTTCGCTGAGCCACATGTGATCCCGATTCTTTGTAAATTCAAAGAAAATTGAATTTAATAAATTTCCTGTGATTTTGGTAAATTCATAAGAATTTAAATGAGGGCCACCATAGCCAGTGACCTCGATAAAGACAGGAAGCTGGCAGCTTGTCAAAGGTCTCCTCCATTATTCCCGAGGATTTTTTTTTCTGTTGAATTTTAAACTGGAGTTTTGGTATTTACAGTTTCAGTGGGTAGGCAATTCTAAGAGTTTATTAATCTATGGGTGGAAAAGTATGTCTTGTTGTGTGTTACATTTGGCTTGTTGAGCTTGTTCCTGCTCTTTGTGTAACATTGGACTTTAAAGAAGTGGTCTGGATTAATGTCATCCAATTTGCTCAGTATTTTAAAGGTTTTGATGAAATGAGCCCCTTTGTGTCTGGTTGATGAGATGAGCCCCTTTGTGTCTGGTTGATGAGATGAGCCCCTTTGTGTCTGGTTGATGAGATGAGCCCCTTTGTGTCTGGTTGATGAGATGAGCCCCTTTGTGTCTGGTTGATGAGATGAGCTCCTTTGTGTCTGGTTGATGAGATGAGCTCCTTTGTGTCTGGTTGATGAGATGAGCTCCTTTGTGTCTGGTTGATGAGATGAGCTCCTTTGTGTCTGGTTGATGAGATGAGCTCCTTTGTGTCTGGTTGATGAGATGAGCTCCTTTGTGTCTGGTTGATGAGATGAGCTCCTTTGTGTCTGGTTGATGAGATGAGCTCCTTTGTGTCTGGTTGATGAGATGAGCTCCTTTGTGTCTGGTTGATGAGATGAGCTCCTTTGTGTCTGGTTGATGAGATGAGCTCCTTTGTGTCTGGTTGATGAGATGAGCTCCTTTGTGTCTGGTTGATGAGATGAGCTCCTTTGTGTCTGGTTGATGAGATGAGCCCCTTTGTGTCTGGTTGATGAGATGAGCCCCTTTGTGTCTGGTTGATGAGATGAGCTCCTTTGTGTCTGGTTGATGAGATGAGTCCCTTGTGTCTGGTTGATGAGATGAGTCCCTTGTGTCTGGTTGTAGTGTTGTAAGTCTTGAGGTTCTCAACCATTCCTAGTATAAAAGTTGACTTTCTTCTGGGAAGATTTTTGTTGCTCTTCACTGATCATTTTACAAGGTAATTTCCTTGTGTAGGTGAGGTCTCTATGCTCAACCCATCATCCTTTTTAAGTACTGTAGTACTTTTTTAACTTTCTACAATTACATGGTAGAATCATTTTACCTCGTCAGCGTTTTCACTTTCCACTTTACCATGGATCTTTGTATCATCTGAAAATTTGAAAATGTGGTTCATAATTTAGGTTAAATAATACATTTACACAAGTACTGGGTTTGTCATTTATGTCATTGATTTACCTTACAAAAATGGTTGTGTCTAAAATGGAGGCTATGGTTCTCCACTTGCAACATTTTTCCAGGCAAATTTTCTTCTGTTTAAGATGACTCTGCTTTCTTTGTTTTAACCACTATCTTATCCATTCTAGTAGTTTACCACTTATTCAATGTGCTTTCAAATTCTGTGCCAGTTTTTATGTGTACCTTATCAAAATTGTTAGAGAAGTCCATGTGCAATACATCTATAGGAAGACTGTTATAATTGGTTATGATTTCCAGAATTGTGAGGTTTGTTAGGCAAAATTTATATTTGTGAAAACCATGTTGTGATGCTTTTAAAAAAAATTTATGTTGTGAGTTGATGAATAGTTTCCTCCCTTGAAGTTTTCCATGAGTTTGCAGATGTGTGAGGTTGGTTTGATTGGTATATACCTTACTGTAGTTTTCTGCTGACCACCACCTGTTTCTTGATGCCATGGGTGACGTTTACATATTTTCAATCAAGAGGGAATATTCTTTCGTCTTGGGATTTTCTAAATTAAGAGTTCATGTGGTAGACTCAGTTCATCCATCAGTTCCTTTAATTTGTCATTGGTTTTCCCGATTATTTATTTTTCATGTAATGGGGGATATCCCTTAAATTATTTTCTTCTCCTTGAAAATTCTGTGTTGATTTTAGAATTTAGTCTAATCTTTATAGTATGAACACTGATCAAAAGTTTATCATGCCTCGAATTCCCCCTCCAAGGTGTACCATGCTGCTGCCCCACATATTCCCCCCTCCCTAGGGGTACCATGATGCCCCCACATACCTCCCTCTCCCTAGTTCTACCATGCTGCTGCCTTCACATACCTCCCTTTCCCTTCCTAGTTGTACCATGCTGCTGCCCCACATAACCCCCCCCCCTTTCTTCCTTCCTAGGTGTACCATGATGCTGCACCACATATCCCCCTCTCCCCTCCTAGGTGTACCATGCTGTAGTACCACATACTCCTCCCCTCCCCTTCTAGGTGCCCCATGTACCTTGCATCTCCCCGGCATGCCATTCTTCCCCTCCCCCCGTGACCTGGTGCTCCCACGCTGCCCAATATTACCATCATAACACCAGACATTACCATCACAATCACCTCACCCTCACCCACTGCATCACCACCCGGATATTGCATGTTAATAAAATACTCCTTAAATATAAGCTGCCAATAGTCAAGATTTCAGTAAACAGTGATAATATAATTCTGTGTTTCTTGAGTGTTGACTAATTATTACTTATAATAAATATAATCATTTGTATTATCGTCATTTATGAATACTCATTATAATTACAGAAGGGTATAGTTGGATTTTTTTTTTTGTTATTGATGCATACAATAGTTCTTACATTCTTGTACAGTTACTAGTACACGTAGCATGTCGGGCAAGTCCTTAATCCTATGTTCCCTGGAATACGACCCCCACAAAGAATTTTTTTTACAACCAAGTACCCATTTTACTGTTGAGTTAAACAGAGGCTACAGTTAATCATTTGCGCCCAGTAAATCTTCCCCGGCCACGATACAAACCCTGGACAAAGCACTCGCGGAACGCCAGGCGAGCGTCTTATCACTACGCCACGGAGACTGCAAGGGGACTGTAGACAGTCCCTGTAGTAGATGGGGAGACCCCAGTATTTGTGTTCCCTGGGTGGAAACTTGCAGTTTCATATTTGTTCTAAACTGCAAAATATATTCACCTCCATAGCCATAGCCATAATGATGGCACCAGTGTTTGTAGCAAAGCCTAGTTTAGAGACCGGGATACGAGAAATTTGATTCTTAGAACCACCTCAAAGTAACTGGCCCCCGCTCCTACATCCAGCAACCCTGCCTGTTAACCCTACCCGGGCTTGTCCTAACCCAACTGTTTCTCGAATACATGAATACATCTTTCAGTCTCTGGGGTGAGTGTGTACCATATTTATTTTCATCTATACCATATTTTTTTAATTTTATGCTCCCCAAACCCATCCTATGAGTGATAGTAGACCCTATATCCATCCTATGGGTGAATCCCATAAACATCCTGTGGTAGTTGTAGACCACTATACAAATCATATGGTCATAATGGACCTCATACCCATCTTATGGGTGGTGGTGGATCCCATACCCATCCCGTGGGCAGTAATTGAAAA